TTTTGTTTCTTTAATTCTGAGATGTCTGCCACTTTTTTTTTTAATTGTTTTTGAAGAAGTCAAACCTTGTGCAACGGTTGTAAATGGTAGGGAAAAGTGGTTGTCATAAACCCCTACCACACACAAATCACCACTACAACCAACTAAACTAAAGAGAATTAACACACATAAAACCAACACAGAAGAAACAAGGAAAAACAAGAAAACAGACACTAACTAAAACAGAATAAACCATAAACCAGCCCCCAAAATACATAATTACAAAGCAGCAATAATAACTTCAAGGATGTCTGTGTATAGCTGAGCAAACAGAAGTTTCCCCCTTACCCTCAGAAGCAAACCAACCAAGCAGTTAATCGAACAAAGGGTAAAAGCTTCAGCACTGGCAATAACGTCGTTGCCCGACCTTAATTTTCAGTTGCCACAGAGAACACACAATTTACTCTCCACCTTCATCTTCCCTGCGGCTTTGATTATCAAATTCTCTCCATAGCTCCCGCGGCCACTACCTTCTCAGACCTCCATTCCTGTTTGAAAATCCTCATCTTCCCCACAGAGGTCACTGACTTTCACTATTTTTCGTGGACTCTATATTCTACACTTCTCTCGGATAAAATTCAATTCACAAAAACACATTGCAGTCCTACGTTATGGGAAAAATTATGTCATTCCCAAAACGAGGCCTTTCGGAGAACCAGTATCGTAATATTATAAAAACAACTAGAAATGCGAAAAATTCAAAATGGTAAATTTAATAAGGTTAAAAAAAAAAAAGAAAGAAAGAAATGTCCATCATTTGATAAAAGACAAATTGGAATGAATCAGTCTTTTGAGCTTAAAAGTAACTCTATTTCCTCATTTTTTTTTTCTTTTTTTTTCCGAACGATAGATAATCTCATTAAACACAAACCGGAGCAAAAGCCCCAAATACAACCGAGAACACAGAGAGAACCATACGCAAGGTATGGTCTAATATCACACAAACACAACCACTACAACCAGAAAAAGAACCAACTCCCCATGGGAGAAAAATCCTACTCTCCACGGGAGATCAGTCAACTCCCTACCGGAAGATCAATCAACTCCCCAACGGAAGATCAGTCAACTCCCCAACGGGAGATCAGTCTACTCCCAAACAGGAGACTACAATACCAACACAACCCAAACCACAAAAAACAGAACACAAATCCACAAAACACCAACCTAATAAACTATACCTACAACACCAGAACAAACAAGACAAACAAACAAACAAAAGCAGCAAATATAAAAATATCCCTTCCCCATCAGCAAACTCAAAACCAGCACAACAACCAAGTACCACCGGGCACCCGATCAACTCCGGCAGACTCAACCACGACCTGAAAGCCTGCTCCTGAGACTGCCCCAAAGTGCCTAACCGAAGCACACCCCCAAGCCCCAAGCCACACCCGGAATTGACCCGACCCATCCGGAGAACAACCAACCTCGCTCCCCACACAACCCGTACATCGGACCAGCCCAACACCACTAGACCAGTCCAACAGCACCGGCCTCCTCCCCGACCACCCACCACGGATCAGAGGAGAAAAAAGGGGTATCAAGGAAATTGCCCCAACTCCAGCCGCCACGGCCAAAACACCGCAACCAGCCCGAGCCACGTCCCGCCCCCATCGCCATGCCCCTCCCTGAAATACCCCGAAACCCAAGGACACCAATGGACCCCATCCATCAGCCGGCACCATTTTTAGGAGAAACCCGGTGAAAGACGACAGTCCATAGCCCCCCGGCCAGAGTAGACAGAAAAAGGCGCACGAATAGGGCCAAGAGCGTGCGGAGTAGGGTCGACCGCCGACTCATTTCGATCTGCCGATGAGAAGGGCACTCGGCCCACAGTAGGAAGAGACGAAGGAGAGTGTCGGTTTTTGGGGATTTTCTGCCCGTTTGTTAACTACTCTTCGACCAACTATACCTTCGCAACCCAAATTGGAAAAAAGGAAAAAGTTTTGGAGCTAGTAAAATCGTATTGTCATCCATACTCACAAGTGCAGATAAATTAATATTACGATTTTTAAATAAAATTTGCAAAATAAATAAATTGGCCATACAACAGGCTAAAAGCCTTCATGGACCGTGAACTATGCTCCAATCAAAATAACAATTTTCCACAACTAAAAGCGAAAGGAAAAGGTGAAAAGATCGAGAGGAAAATGAGATATATCTCTGCCTTTAAATACAACTACATTCACTCATCCCCTCCTTACATCCACAAACTTGCCTCGTTAACTAGTTGGTACTATGCATATTCGAAATTTCAATCAGCTAATTCAAGAAACAACACAATCCGTATGCTTGGAAAGGTTCTCCCACTTCAAGCAATGTCTGTTATGCGATTTTGTAATCACTGTAAAAAATGCTTCCTCACATCCTCAATTTTCCGTCATCTTATTATCATTGTACGCCCTCAAAACGAATGTGAACCCACTGCCACAATACACATTGGAAATAGCATGATTGTCGTCATATTTACTGCCTAAGCTTACCACCTGAGGGGCAGTTTGGTCATTTGAATTCCCCAGGCCAAGCTGACCGTGTTCTCCCCAACCCCATGTCATTATTGATCCATTTTCTGAACAAGTGATTGTGAAATTTAACTGTAACTTAATACAGTGCAGTCGATAAACATCGAAAATAGTGAGAAATGTTCAATACTTCTTGCCTGTTACTAAAGCCGAGTGTTCTGCCCCTGCAGCAATATTTAGTATTTTTGAATCCACATGCTGATCTGGAATTATCTTCACAACCCCTTCTTTAGATTTTCCTGTGAAAAGCAGAAACAAAAATCATTTAGAGTCCGAACCATTTTGGAATTTTACGAAACCAAAATTGCTATGTTTATGCCAGTAAAGTAATCTAATCAGGATTCCAGACAAAAAAATAAAATGAATGCAGCCTCTCTCTCTCTCTCTCTCTCTCTCTCTCTCTCTCACACACACACACACACACACACACACACATATTACCAGGTACATTATCCGATAAGGATGTTTTTTGTAAGTCAGTAAGCGCACCATGACGATTACCGCCAAGCATGAATAGCTCCATTTCTCCTGTAAATAGAGCACCACGATCAATGTGCGTGAAAGAGAAAGATAAAGGTTAACTTGAACATCAGTTCTTACTTGTTAACAATAAAGCATGGTTCCATCCTAAAGCAACCTTGTCGATTGAAAACTTAGTATCTAAACGGCTAGGAACGCACGCATCTGAAGCACAACCAAATCCTCTTCCCCATGTATATAGACTTCCATCATCTATGATTTATCAAACACAAATAAAAAAGATAACAAATCACTTAAAGGGGTGATTAAAAATATCCTTATCGGCATATGGTGGTCTCGGTTTAAAGGGTTATCAAACAGCCTTCTTGGGCATTGACACATGATTATCTCTGCACAATCAACAAGAGGTTCCTTTACCATTCAACTGGGGCTTCCACAACATTAGCTTACTTTTATAGAAAAATAGAACGTCCAATTATCATTGATATTTGATAATTAAAAATAAACCCTATTGAGGGTGCAATTTATGAACTATAAAAAAAAATAAGAATAAAAAAAACCAAGGAGACTGTTTGCTAGGACTTCTTTCTTTCGCAGTAACTAGGTTAAAGCTCAGGAGAGACTCTTCGCTAGTTAGCCCAAATAAAAATAGCAAGCTCGACATTAAAATCTAATGCTAGGTCATGCAAGAGGTATACTATGGAGCTCACCTGATAATGCTGCACTGTGATCGCCATTTGCACTAACACTGATGATTCTAATATTTGTCAAGCCCATGGTTATCTGAGGTACAGTAATCAATTTGACTTTGTCTCTAGAAATACCCAGTTGTCCGCGCTTTCCGGACCCAAATCCATACACCTGATTTTCCACATTACCTGCAACATAATTATTTTTATATTTAGATAAGTCTGGTATAGAGCAATAGTTATCGTACAGAATCATGCTAACGAAATTTTTAACCATGCTAAGGATTTGAATTTTATTATCTACAAGATGGCACCTTTTTTATATGATACTAGTAAAGTGCACGTGCAATGCACGTGGTGACAAATATTTTTGGCCGATAAGATAAATCAATTAATTTATTAAATATATGATTGCAAGAACAAAATGAAATATAGAA